ACACACACACACACACACACACACACACAGAGAGAGAGAGAGAGAGAGAGAGAGAGAGAGAGAGAGAGAGAGAGAGAGAGAGATGGTTAGAGAGATGGCTAGGGATCTGATAGACGAGATGGTGCGAGGTAAGTTAGTTGGTAGTATTGGAGAACCATCCTATGAAGGAATGCGTAGTATGGCTCTTGCTTCTGAGATGGCGATGGGCGAGAACTCCACCACGTCAGGGGAAGGCGGGAGCGGCAACGACCTGGCCAGCTTATCGATCATGGTGCAGCTAGTCCTGCTAATTATGACTTTCATCATAGGCCACATACTTCGGAGACGGCAGATCTTGGTCATTTCTGAAGCAGCGGCGGCATTGCTTTTGGGTGTGTTGGTGGGCTTTACTGTCACGTTGCATGAAAATGCAGGTGGGTTCAGAGATTGGATAGATTTCAACAACGAGTTCTTTTTCTATTTCCTTCTGCCTCCTATTATATTTGAGTCGGGATGGAGCCTTAGACCAAAGCGCTTTTTTGCCAATTTCGGTGGCATCCTGATGTTTGCCATTATCGGGACCGCCATTTCAGCCTTTGTGATTGCTATACTTATGTATTTCGCAGGACAGTCCGGCCATGGAATTGCGTCCTTGCCCTTTCTGGAGTGTCTTGTGTTCGGATCCCTGATATCGGCAACGGACCCTGTCACGGTCCTGGCCATATTCCAGGAATTGGGTGCGGATCCGGACCTATATGCTCTTGTATTTGGAGAATCGGTGCTGAACGATGCGGTGGCTATCGTTCTGTACAGGACGGTCAAGGAGTTCTTGGATACCCCTGTTAGTGACAGGAGGGTGTTATCAGCAATCTGGTTCTTTTGCGTGATTTTGATGGGGTCTTTTGCGATAGGGGTTATTGTAAGCTTGGTGAGTGCTTTGATTTTAAAGTATGGGGGGTTTAAACAAGCCAATCTGGGGGTTTTAGAGGCCTGCATTGTGTCGCTTTTCCCTTACGTCGCCTACATGATGGCGGACGCGGCCAAGTTATCAGGTATCGTGGCGATTCTCTTCGCGGGGATTACCATGCGGCATTACACGAACCCGAACCTGTCGAAAGAGGGGCAGAAGATCACAACAACATTCTTTGCCATGATGGCCAAGCTCGCAGAGACGTTCATCTTCATCTACATGGGCTTGGCGGTCTTCGTGGAATCCCACACCTGGTCCAGCTACAAATTCGCGCTCTGCAGCATTGCCGTCACTCTCCTCGCGCGGGTCTTCAACATCTACCCTTTGTCGTCTATCGTCAACCTCTTCCGGGAAAAGAGTCAGCGGATCCCTATGACCCATCAGCATGCCTTGTGGTTTAGCGGCCTCCGAGGCGCCCTCGCCTTCGCACTCTCGGTGCAGTCGATCACCGACCTGGCGGACGGACATGGAAAGGTTCTGAATACAGCGACGCTGATCATGGTGCTCTTCACAGTGGTGTTTATCGGCGGAGGAACGCCAGCAACGCTCAAGGTTTTGAAAATACAATGCGGAATTCCCCATCACGAAAGGGAAGAATTGGCCACGGAGACCGAGAACGGGGGTGGTGGTGGTGGTCCTCCTCATCCTGGTGGCGGACCTGAGGGACCTGGCGGTGGTGGTCCTGGTGGTCATCCTCGGTCGTCGCTGAATTGGCGGCGGACATCGGGGGTTTCGGAGGACGGCGGGGGTGTTTTTGAGAAGCAGGATGAAGCGGAGGACATTTTCCATAAAAAGCCATTTGAGAGACAGCGAGTGAACATGAAGAAGAGGATGAGGAAGCTCAAGTCCGAGGCACGGAAGCTGAAGAAAGATGCAAGCTTCACTAGTCTGGACAAGAAATACCTGAAACCTTTCTTCATCAGTTCACAGCGGCCTCTTTTAGGACCACATTCAGGACCGGAAGCCCAAAACCATCAAGATAGCATACATGCGAGTGTGGGGTCAGGGCAAGGGCATTCCCGCAAGGGGGAGGGTAATCAGGGACCAATTACAGATTGGATCCTGGAGGGGTTGGGATGCCCAGGACCTAATCTGGGTGGCCGAGATGGCGCACAAGATTCGCCTAAGGGGCCAGAGACAGAACTCAGCCTACCTTCAGGTCTGACTCAACACAAGAAGATTGTGGGAGGGATTCCACAGACGGCTGAACCGGAGCACACTCATCTCGACAAGCTGCGGGGAGGAGAAGATGTCGTGTTAACGGTGGGAGAAAGAGGAGAAGGAGGGGGTAGCAGTAGGGTTAAGAAAGGCGACTTCGGCGGCAGTACGGCTAAGTGAGGGGAACAAAGTCGGCAATGACGACAACCCGAGAAACTATGGACCAGTTGATCTTCAGCATTGATGTTCCAGGAACTGCAAGAGGAGAACGTAACGAGGGCATTGAGGGGTATTTTAGCAAATTGAGGCGAGACCTGAGGGGTTGCGAAGAGAGAAAAGACCGTTTTCGTGTTACATGAGCACGAAAGCCTCCTCCACAGACGGTCACCGAAAGAAAAGGAAAAAAAGGTGAGAACGCTCCCGAATCACCTTTAAGTTTTTAGTTTGAAGTAGGGGCAAGAAAAGACGAAGTGGCGCTGATGTCATTGTTATAGTTTCAAAATGTGACATGGCAAAAAAACAAAAAAAAGGCCGCCGCTAGCAGGGGGTTTGAAACTGCGGCCCTTTTTGTTTTAAGTTGCGTGAATGCAGATTATTTGTTTTTTAGCGACCGCTTTTTTTTTTTTTTGGCCCTGCTTCGAGAACTGCTGAAGTTGCCTATTAGAAAAGGCGCTCGGTGTGACCCAGGAGGAGCCGTTGCCCCCCCTCAAAAAAAAAAGAAGGATTCAAAGGATCAAATCTGCCTAAATTTCAACCACCAGTACTTGGGCGACGCCCTAGCGTTAACGCTACGCGATTTCCGCGGCCGGCGGGCCATCGATAAATCAAATCGACAGCCTGTGCTGCTTCGAGATTTGGGCGGCCGGCGCGGCATTGTGTCCAAGTACTGGCAGTACACCACAAATCGCCCCGCGGGTGTCAGCAAGCACTGCCAGCACAAAACCCACACCACTTAGGAGGCCGCCCATTTGTTTTTTGAACAGCGGCGCCTCCGAGTTTTGCTTGTGGCGACAAAAACTTTCTGCAAGGCTGGGGCCGTGTACTTGCGGCTTAAGCCCCTGCTAGCGGGGGTCTTAAACTGCGCCAGTACACCACATATCCACCCGCGGGTGTCGGCATGAAACCCGCACCACTTCGGAGGCCGCCCATGTTTTTTCCAACGGCGGGCCTGGCCACGCGGCTTTTGAGTTTTGCTTGTGGCAACAAAAACTTTCTGCAAGGATGGGCCAATGTACTAGCGGTTTAAAACCACAAGTACACAGCCCCAGCCTTGCAGTCCGAAACTTGTCGCCACAAGAACGCTGGGCCCACCGTTGATAAACTCGATTGGAGGTCACGTATTTGTTTCACGGCTCCAGAATTTGAGGTGTCAGGCCCGCGGCCCAGTTGCTTATGTACTGGTGCTTTACGTCTGTTCAGCTCTTTTTCTCATTTTGTGAGAGATAGAGCAGAAATGAAGCTGTCCGCCCTGCCAAAGTGCTCAGTGGCCTGCCGAAGGCCAACCGACGGGCCCGGTCGTCCCCAGTCGCCCTGCACAACTAACGCCCGGGATCTGATACCCTGGGGCTGCTGAGCCTGTCCGCATCCAGCATGTCTGAGAGCAGTGACAGCAGTGACAGGTGCATGTGGCATTGTGCCATATGCCGTATGTTGTTTGGTGACATCAAGGGTTCATCACAGGGTAAGCGCCAGGATTGAACGCATGATAGAAGGAATGTGGAGGATAGCAGCACTGGCATGTGATTGGAGATCAAGGCGTCAATAAGCGGGGTCTGCAACATGAAGCTGATCATTGGGCCTCGCTCCACTACTGTCCACTGTACAAAAATAAACAGTCGGAGGCAGCTCCGGTTAGTGTCCACTGTCCATGCGAAAAACTGCTTGGACAGTAACTGTTGTGAAAAAATCAGATGACATTTGACAGTCTACTGTCCCCGATTGTATAATTCCCAGCCTGCAAAATTGGTTCTGTGGAGAGTCCGTCAAAGAACGCACGATGCCGACCCAAACTTGGACAGTGTACGTGAAGTTTGGGCAGACAAAATGCTTTCGATGCCGTCTTGTACTGAAGTCGCGGTAGAAGTGCAGCTGTATAGTGGACAGTGGACAGTGGACAGTAAATGAAGCGATGCCCCGTTCGCGGGGATTTGGCTCACTCTAACAGCTGTCCGAGAACGGAACAAAATTGTGTATAGTAGTGGAGCGAGGGCCATTGGACTTAAACTCTGGAGGCGTGTGGACGGGGATTACACGATGTGGTGGGAGATCTGTCTACAACAGCCAAGGCTTGGCTAGAGGTAGACTCAATCTGGGGGGCGACCTCGTTGAAGAGTGATCAGAGGACATGACTTGACACACACCTGTTGGATATCATCTTGAAATCTGAGGAGGTGCTGGGATCCACAACTTGATGATCTCATCGATATGGGGCAGGTGGCTATGTTGATGCGACGATGCTATGTGCTTTCTGAAGAAGCTGGCGACCTGGGTGCCACAATGGAGCAGCGTTCGCAGGGTCTGTTGGCTGTAAATGATAACTAAGTCTTGTGTCTGTAGCAGAGTTACTGTAGTGCTCCGCAACACGAACCACTGAATCAATCAGATATCGCGACCAATGTTCATTACTGAGGGAGGGCTGAGCTTCTTGTTTCACCAGAAGAACAAAGGTTTGGTCACCTCTGCTTATCAACAGTCTTCGTACCGACAATTCTAAGACTTCCGCATTGGCCCTGGACATCGCAACTTTCGCAAGTGGATGCAGTAATTCTGAGCAACCGATTGACGGGATCCCCACTACTGGGCCGAGCTTTTGACGTACGGGCGCTGATATCAGAGAGTTTGGTTGTTTTACAGCAGGTGAGCGCGGATAGCGCCGCATGGGCGAGCCCTGAGGGTGGTGATGTCTCAAGATTGTTGGAATTGGAGCTACGGGTGAATGGGGTGAGGGAAGTAGTGGGTGGGCACCGTTTGTTCAATGCTCCCCGTTCATTTGCCGATACCTGGAGGCCCGGAGGGGGATCGGCTTTCCTTTTTCGTGATGGTGTTGTGGAACACTCTCTCCGTCCCTCGATGACGCCTACTTAGCATGTGTACGCGCCGGTTCAACCCCAGCATCTTGCGCCTCTAGCGTCACTGCCGTCTCCGCTTATCGTTTCCCGGCATCGGTTCCTCGCAATTGAGGGGTGCGATGGAGTACCAGCCCCTGTTGGTATTGCCTTGGTCTCACTGAGCCCCAGTTTCCATCATCAGGAGTAACCTCGTTCGTCAACTAGACCCTCCCTCCAGCCATTCTGTTGAAAGTTCTCGTCACCCACAGCAGCCCAGTTTCCGTCATTGGTACGTACGTACTTGGCCACGGTGACCATGCAGTGCATGCACTGCCCTTACCTCCGTCATCAACTAGGCCTACTCTGCTCTATCTGTGAACGGCATGGGAAGCAGGGTATCCCACCATCATCTATCCTTAAGCCGCCAGTACCTAAAAGAAAAACAATGCCCGCACGGAGGGCGGGGCTGGCCTCGCACCCCGGCCAGATACATCTTGAATCCTTGGCGCGCAGGGGCCCCGGCCAATGGCTGGGCAAGGCACTGTCAGTGAGGTTTAAACCACGAGTACTTGGTTTGGTCCAGATTTCGGCCGCGGGAAAAAAACAGAGTAGAATGTTTCTAGTCGGATGAATTTGGTCGGTCCTGCAGTGGCCCATACGTTCCCTAAAAGTGCGGCTTGTTAACTGACACAACTTTAGGAACTAGTGGTGGTTTAAGACAGCTCCTACTGCAAGATTACCCCCAGAGTCCTTTTTTTTTTTTTTTTTTTTTTTTTTTTTTTTTTTTTTTTTTTTTTTTTTTTTTTTTTTTTTTCCATAAGTCGTCATCCAGAACAGCAATGGTCTCAGTCAGCTCCTACTGCAAGATTAACCCCAGAGTCCTTTTTTTTTTTTTTTTTTTTCTCATCCAGAACAGCTGTGATGGTCTCAGTCATTGGTATGTACTACGCCACCATGCTGTCCTCTTACCTCTATCATAGACTGGGCCTATTCTGGCTTTATCCCCCAGGGGGGGGGCTACCTCGGGACTCCTGCCACTAGCGGGACCCCCCTATCATCCCACCTGTGGCCCTGCCCCCCCCAAAAGTAAGGCCCTAAGGTAACCAACTATAGAAAGAACAGCTGCAATGGTCTCAGTCATTGGTATTTACTAGGCCACCATGCTGTCCTCTTACCTCTATCATAGACTGGGCCTATTCTGGCTTTATCCGCCAGGGGGGAGCCTACCTCGGGACTACTGCCACTAGCGGGACCCCCCTATCGTCCCACCTGCGGCCCTGCCCCCCCCAAAAGTAAGGCCCTGAGGTAAGCAACTATAGAAACCCTAATGTTTGAGAAAAGTGGAAATGAAGTGGGGGAAACTCGATTGGAGCCGATGCGTATCCAGAAGACTGACATTCATATGGTCATCATTTCATCTGATTTCCCCATTGACAGATATTAACAGGTGTTTTCATTGTTCACTGAAGCATAAAAACTCTCTGAGAACAGCTGGAATACAGTTACGGGTTTGGAAATTGCGGTCTATTGGACTCAATTGGGGTCAGCTGACTCAGCTCTATTGGACGTCCACCTTCCAGTTAATCATGATTCGAGAGATTGTCAAATCAGATCTTCAACTGTTTTTGACGATCTGACGAATCATAATAGACCAGTCACCAGAGTAACAAAAGCGGGTCTGAAAATTCTCTTCTTCTTTTTCTTTTTTTTCTTTTTTTTTCTTTTTTTTTTCCTTTTTTTTTGAAAATTCTTTATACACTTGAGACAGCGTCGGAATCTCAGGGGACGTACCGAACCATGTCATGTATTCTGCGTAGCCTCATAGGACTGTGTCACTACTGTTCAGTCCAAAGTTCCCCTCGATACCAACTAAGGGTAATGCTCCTGAGTGATGGTCACACTGAGGTAGGATAGTGGAGATAGGGGGTGCGCTAGGAGTACTGACGTGAGGATGGGATGGGAGGTAGCCTCGTTCCCTCAGGACAACCATGGCTGACCGCTCCAGGGGATCAATGTGTGCCAAGTAACCGGCCTCTACAACACCCTGGCCTTTTTGGAAAAAAAAAAAAAAAAAAAAAAAAAAAAAAAGGGGATTGTGATTCCCTGTTATCCTCTGTTACGCTTCAACAATTGCGATTTTTTATTATTATTATTATTATTATTATTATTATTTTAATTTTCCTTTAATGAACGAGACCTCAGCCTGCTAAATAGCTACGCGGGGACCTTTCCTAGTGGCCAGCTTCTTAGAGGGACTGTTGCACGACTAGCCAACGAAAGTTTGAGGCAATAACAGGTCTGTGATGCCCTTGGATGTTCTGGGCCGCACGCGCGCTACACTGATGAATCCAACGAGTCGCTTGCCTGGGTCGAAAGGCCCGGGTAACCTTCTTAAGGTTCATCGTGAGGGGGATAGATTGTTGTAATTATCGATATTGAACGAGGAATGCCTAGTAAGCACGAGTCATCAGCTCGCGCTGATTACGTCCCTGCCCTTTGTACACACCGCCCGTCGCTCCTACCGATTGAATGGTCCGGTGAAGTGTCTGGATTGCGGTGATCTCGGCGGTTTGCCGCTGGGGGTGCTGTGAGAAGTTCATTGAACCTTATCATTTAGAGGAAGGAGAAGTCGTAACAAGGTTTCCGTAGGTGCGATTATTTTTCAAATTGATATCTCTTGGGGTTTCCTTTTGGCTATTTTTATCAGTTGTGTATGCTCATTGCTCAGTGCACATCTTTGTGGCCCTCGTAAGGATCAGACGTTGGGGTGTGAATGCGGAATGCGGCGGGGTGTTGTTGACCTTTTTACGGATCCTGGTGACATCAGACGTCAGGGTGTGAACGTGGATCTTCGCCTTTTTCTGTATCCTGGCAGCATCAGACATCAGGGTGTGAATGCGCGTTGGTCGACCTTTTTAATATGTATCCCGGAGGAATTGTACTTCAGTGTGTGAACGCGGATGGTGCCGACCGTTTTATGTATCCCGCCGGCATCAGACATCAGGGTGTGAGCGCGTCTGTCGACGATTGTTTATTTCGGACGAAGAGTGTCTCACAGCCACGGTGTCCCTTCTTTTTTTTTTTCCTCAGGAAAATCTCCCAAGGGTGCACTGACTCCTCTCTGACTGACAAACATCGCACTTCAATTTTCGCTCGCGTTTGTTGGCGTCGGAGAGGGTATTTCAGCAAACAATTGAGACCATTCTGGGCTCTCATTTGAGAGGAAGTGGACTTGGTCCATTTGTAGGCTTGGGTAGGGGTATTTCAGTAAACAGTTGAGGCCATACTGGGGTCTAACTTGAGAAGAAGTGGGCTTGGTGCATTTGGAGGCATGGTTATGATTATTTCCGTAAACAATGCAGGCCATCCTGGGGACTCGATTCAGCAGAACGGGGTCAGTGCATTTGAAAGGCGTAGGCAGGGGTATTTCAGCAAACAATGGTCCAGGAGCCCATTTGTAGGCATAGGCAGGGGCATTTCAGCAAACAGTGGAGCCCATCATTCTTCTGTTTTTTTCTTAATCCTTTTGAGGGGTGTGCCTCAGGGGTTCACACATCTGTAGGCATGGGCAGGGGTATTTCAGCAAACAATGACCATCCACCGATATCTCATGACTCGACTATAAGATCTTGGTGTCACCAGACTCAGATTTCTCCAAGTTTACCTCCTACTGGTGCTGTTGCAGGAGGCCAAGCGCAATCAGACCATTAGGGGGGGGTCTAATTTGAGAAGAGGTGGGGTTGATGATTTTTAAGGGAGGGGTCTCCCATCCTTTTTTTTGTTCAAATTTGTTTTCTGACCTTTTTAGGGCTATGCGTATTATCTTTTTCTCCCCCCCCCCAAAAAAAACATCGGCATCCAAGCTCATATATCTATCGGCTGACAGAAGGAGACTCCTAGATCTGATTCAGGTCTATAATAGTATAGTGCCTGATGGCTCCAATCTATTGGTGGGGAGCTTCACCAGCTGGTAAACGGGTCCAGTGTCCCTATATACTTAGTCATTTCTGGCATTTTTCGGCCAATGGCATATCTTTCATTCTTCTGTCTGGAAATTGCTGCACGCTTTGGATTGACGGGAAGGGGGGAGGCGAAGGCGCTGGAGTGCTGTTGGGGAGGTTGGGAAAGTTCGGGAGAGGACATCTGGGCTTGTCGGTGTGGTGAGGTGGGAGTATTTATTGGTGGGTAATTTTTAGGGGTCTGGATGTCAAAGGAGGCACATGTGAATATGCACAATGCACCGCGTGGGCAGATCGTGGTTGATTTTTTTTTTTTTTTTTGCTCTTTCTTTTCTTTTTTTGTTCATGGAATTGGAACATGGATTTTGGTCTCGACAATTATTGCAGAAAGTCAATCTCTGTTAGGGCTTGCCTCCACTATGCAACACTCTCCGTGCATTTGGACACTCTGTGGACAAGGTGCAATTGGACAAGTCCAGCATGCTCACCTGCCTGCCTGTTTGTCGGTTTGTCTGCTTGTCCGCCTGCCTGTCTGCCTGTCTGCCTGTCTGTTTGTTTGTTTTTTTGTTTTTTTGTTTGTTTGTTTGTTTGTTTGTTTGTTTGTTTGTCGGTTGTTTGACAATGTGTGTGTGTCTGTCTGTCGGTCCGTCAGTCGGATCGTCGGTCGGTGGGTCTGTCTGTCTGTTTGTCGGTCAGTCTGCCGGTGAGTCTGTCTGTCTGTATGCCTGCCTGCTCACCTGCCTGCCTGTCTGTCTGTCTGTGTCTGTCTGCCTGTCTGTCTGTCTGTCTGCCTGTCTGCCTGTCTGCCTGTCCGCCTATCTGCCTGCCTGCCTGTTTGTTTGTTTGTTTGTTTGTTTGTTTGTTTGCTTGTTTGTTTGTTTGCTTGTTTGTTTGCTTGTTTGTTTGTTTGTTTGCTTGCTTGTTTGTGTCTGTCTGTCTGCATGCCTGCCTGCTTGCCTGCCTGCCTGTCTGGCTGCTCACCTGTCTGCCTGTCTGTCTGCCTGTCTGCCTGCATGTCTGTCTGTTTGTTTGTTTGTTTGTTTGTTTGTTTGTTTGTTTGTTTGTTTATTTATTTGAGTGTGTCTGTCTGTCTGTCTGTCTTCCTTTTTGTCCGTCTGTCTGTCTGTCCATCTGTCGGTTGGTCGGTCTGTTGTTTGTCTGTCTGTCTGTCAGTCTGTCCTTCTGTCGGTCGGTGGGTGGGTCTGTCTGTCTCCCGGTCGGTCTGTCGGTCGGACTGTCCAGTGGGTCTGTCCGTCTGTTGGTCTTTTCTGTCAGTTCGGTCTGTCCGTCTGCCTGCCTGCCTGCTCACCTGCCTGCCTGTCTCTCGGTTTCTCTGCCTGTCCGCCTGTCGGTCTGCCTGTCTGTTTGTTTGTTGTGGTTGTATGTTTGTTTGTGTTACCTGATATCATCTGACAAGGACCTATCAGCATGTACTCTCTTTCTTCAATCTGTTTGACGATACATCACCTGTCTCTGAGGGCATCACACCACCACTAGAACATGGAAACATACAGTGCCATAATTTTTATCTTCTCCATTTGGTGAGTGGAGCCCCCAGGCCCTGATCAGAGTATGAACCGAGCCATGCATTCCAGCCGTGACTCTGTCATTTTGGGCCTCGCTCCACTACTCACCAAATGTGCAAAATGAGATTCTGAACAAATCTTGGGCAAGAACATGTGAACATACACCGCCATATTTTTCAGGAAAAATAAAAATAAAATAAATCAGAATCTTCTTTTGTGCATATGGTGAGTTACTGTAGTGAAGCGAGGCCCTCTTATCTTTCTTTTTTTTTTTCTTTTTTTCTTTTCTCTTTTTCTTTTCTTTGGAGCGAGGCCCTCTTATCTATTTTACCCCTCAAATCATTTGCCTCATATTTTTGAATTGAGCAAGAGTCCCAGCAGCCCGAACCAGTTTGGAAGCCTTTTTTATTATTTTTTTATTTATTTCAAATTATTTGACAATGTTTTTTTAACTTTTTAGGGTAATTTTCAAAAATAGTGCACGTCCTTTTCACAGCAGAAATATTGGCAGCGCCCCAGTTTCGTTGCAAAAATATATCTTTTTTTTTTTTTTTTTTTTTTTTTCCTTAAAAAGATTCATGTGGTAGTAGCGGCTGGGCTCTTTGCCTCGGGAAGTGTCTGACTCGCATGTTCAACCAGTGGGGATGTCACTTTGGAGGTTCCACATTTTTGGGGACACCTAACCATGGAGACTACACTTCTACTTTGTTACCTTTTTAACTGTCATAAGTCGAGCCCCTATAGCTGGTTACCTAGACCTAGCCTAACTAGACCAAGGCTCCCAAACCCGCAATGTGCCAAGGATCTAACTACAGACCCCTGACTGCTACCATAGAGGAACACCCTGATTACTCAGGGACGACCCGGAGCAGATTGGGCTATTTCCAACCTGCATCAACCTCACAGACTCTGGTGGCGAACCGCACTTGTATGAACGGTACGACATCCACCCTACCCTTCCCAGATGAGTCTTCTACCGGGAGGAATCCCCTTGATGTGTACCCCTAAGTGACCACTCCAGTGGGTATGACAGACCAGGCACTATCCCCGATGAAGCCTATCTCGCAGGCATCGTAAGATTTTAACGGGGGCCCGCCTGCAGGCATCGTAAATACGTAGGACCCGTCCTGCTACGACCATTCTATAGGATGCATGAGAGGCGGGATCTAACCAGGAGCAGGGCGGGACAAGTATGGGTTCAACCATCGGTGAACCTCTGGATCGGGAAACCCCAAGCGGTACCCAAGACATCTGAAGACACCCCAGGAACCCATACAACCCCCATGGAACCTGAAGAGGTTCACACCCCTCATGCGGACTGACACCCTAACCTAACTCGACCCCTAACCTAAACCCCATACTGGCCAGTATGTCTGGTGCAGACCCGATCATCGGACTGGAGGCCTGACTAAACCCTTCGAGTACCCCTCGTCTCAGGAGCAACCCCAATAATCGGACTATCCAAGGGTTCTGATCATTCAGGACAGACAACCCTCCCCCAAAGCCCGCGGTGAGACTCCCCAGACCTAGGCGCAGACCCAATCATTGGGTTGGAGATCAGACCCATTGAACACCCCTCATCTGTGGAGTAACCCCCTTAGTCATTGGACCACCCCAAAGGCTGAGTACTCAAACAGTCCTCCCCCAAAGCCAGCTCCCAGAATACTAACAACATGGACCAGTCCCTTGGGCGGTGCGCAGGCAGTGTCAGTATAAACTTACCAATGCGTTGTCCCAAGGGTGGGGTGCGAATGGCTGGGTACTATGAGAGCACGGTCCGGCGGAGTGCGCGAGGCTGCGGAGTTTTGAACCCACACCCTCATACCACAATGCGCACTTCCAGCGGTGTCCTAACCACTTGGACACCAGGCCATTCATTGCAGCTTTTTTTTTTCTTTTTTTTTTCATTGCAGCTTTAGAGGTCCCCGTAGTTTCACAGAGAAAGTATTTGCAGGGGGGGTGTTGAAAAAAACATAGATCTTGCGGACCCCTACGACATATCTGCTGCGAAACCTCGACACGACATAGGGCATCGCGGCACGGGACACGAAACGAAAAACGAAAAGAGTGCATCTTCCTGCAGAAAATGGCCAGGTTCATGGGTTTGCTATAAATAGTAACAAGTGTATTTTGCCACCTTTCGTGGGCAGATGCACTCATCTCGTTTTCGTTTCGTGTCTGCTGTGAAACCTCATAGTCAGATGCGCCCGCCAGATTTTTGTCTTTTCACATTCCCAGAGTGGTGGTGGTGTGGCGAGGCCCAAAGTACCTAACACAATATCAGAGCCGTGTCCTTTTTTGTTTTTTGTTTTTTTGTTCTGCCTTCTGCTCATCGGGGGACAGCCATATATTTTTCTCTCAATGCCTTTCTCGGCCTTTTGGCGGCTAAAAAGTAGAACAAGTGTAGTATCTGTTCTGAGCAGTTTAATATTTGATCCGTGGTCCATCGGGCCACAACGGTATCAAATTATTTTTTCTTGGCTTCGAAGGAGTCACAGGCGTAGGCTTGCTTGCTCGACCCCTCCAGCGTGGCCTCTGTATTGCACAGCCGCCGAGCGTGGCCTCTGTATTGCACAGCCTACTCTGAAGAAGTGGGGGGGTCGACCCCTCCTGCCCTGAGCCCCCCACTTCTTCAGAGTAGGCTACTCTTGAGACTTCGTGTTTGCCCGTGAAGGGTAGTGCCTGGGAATCTCGGCTGTGGCCAAGACATCTCGGCCGTGGCCAATCTGGGGTGTGGCCGAGACATCTCGGCCGTGGCCAGTCCGGGGTGTGGCCGAGACATCTCGGCCGTGGCCAGTCTGGGG